GGTTTAAAAACAGTCCCAGAACAGGGATGTTGCGACAATGACAGTGGGACTCTTCACCTTTTGCCCTTTGATCAGTGGTTGTTGATCAATGGTCGTGACAATTTGCATATTAATGATCAGGGAACTGACCTCACAGCCCATTGTTCGTCAGTGGTGCTAGTTTCAGTCATTGTGCAAATGTACTGTTTATAAGATTGGGGAAACCTGCAGTCAGCTGAGACTGAAGAAGTCACTTGGATGAGTGACAAAATGTTTCTTCCACTGAAAACACTACGTCCAGATGAGCAGAATCCACCTTTTGGAATTTACTTACCAGGATGATCCAGCATGGATCAATGCTTCTTACCTTTTGCTTTTTTATAACTAAAAATCAGGTTGGATGAGAGTTTAAATGTCTTCAAACATAAAGAAGTCCACTTACCTCCTCTTTAAGCTCCTAAGACCATGACTTTTATGACTGAGAACCTACACAGACAGTTCTTGATCAATTAATTGTTTCACCTCCCACAGTAAGAAGAGGACATCTCTTTTCCGGAAAATCACCAAACAGGCATCTCTCCTCCACACTAGCCGCAGTCTGTCCTCTTTAAACCGCTCACTGTCATCAGGGGAAAGTGGCCCCGGCTCACCAACACACAATCTGTCACCTCGGAGCCCAACACAGGGCTACAGGTCCACGCCAGACTCCACGCATTCAGGTGAGACACACATTTGGATAGTTTTTTGTTTTTTGTTTTTAAATCTGTGTGTGTATGTCTGTTTTTTGTTTTGTTTTTTTAAATGTGCAAAACACACATTCAAAATAAAACGAATCACATTTGGTATATCTCCACTACATTATTGTTCTTCCTTTATACCCCACAGTGGGTGGGAACTCTTCCCAGAGCAGTTCACCCAGCTCGAGCGTCCCAAACTCTCCAGCAAGCTCCGGCCACATTCGACCCAGCTCCTTACATGGACTTGCACCAAAGCTCCAGCGCCAGTACCGCTCCCCTCGGCGCAAGTCAGCTGGCAACATTCCCCTCTCCCCTCTGGCCCGTACACCTTCTCCCACCCCTCAGAGCAGCTCTCCTCAGCGCTCTCCTTCACCACTCTCCAGCCACACTCTTGGCCAGTCTGCCATGGGTCAGTCATTCCCTGTGAAGCTCCACTCCTCTCCTCCTCTGGTGAGGCAGATATCCAGACCCAAGAGTGCAGAGCCTCCACGTTCTCCGCTCCTCAAGAGGGTGCAGTCAGCTGAGAAACTAGCAGCCTCTCTCACTAACTCTCCTTCATCTTCGGGCATGGCAGCAGCAGCAGAAAAGAAGCTGGCAGTTGGAGCAGCTGTGGGGAGCCGTAAACACAGCCTGGACATCTCGCATTCTGAGTTTAAGAAGGAGATTCTGCAGAGGGAGCCGAGCTTACAGAGCCTCCAGGTAGATACTGCCTTCACACAAAGTTGGGTCTAACACATAATCAACATAATAATCATAATAATGAGAGTTTGTTTAGGACATGCAAGTATTATGGTTCTTACATTTGGAAATACATCTGTTGTGGGGGAGATAAAAAGTTTTTATTTTGATATAACAAATAGGCAATGAGATCCAAAATGTAAAGAAGAAGTCTCTTGTGTGTGTGTGTGGTTGTGTGTGTGTGTGTGTGTGTGTGTGTGTGTGTGTGTGTGTGTGTGTGTGTAATTGTTCACACAAGTAAAACATCATCACAAAAAATGGCACAAAAACCTCAATATAATTTAATAAAACTGCATAAATAAGAGAAAACTGTGTAGGACTTATTGTTCCCAAATGGTAACTAAGTTAAAGCTAAAATAAAATGTGTGTAAACTGGTGATGAAATGTTGTAGCTCTACTGAGCTTTGCTTCTTCTGTGGGGTTTCAGATGACTTTTTTTTCTTAGACACAAGCAGAGAAAGTTTTATTGCAGAGTTTGTATTATATACCAGCACAGTCAAGCCCGTAACCTAGTTTAGCTTTCCCCAAAACACATTATTGTTGAACACAGCACATTGCAGAAATCGATTAAATTCTTACAGTGGAATCCACAACACTGTCATTTTTTAGCTTCCCAGACAGCAGATTTCAGGATAGGTAACGGTTCTCTTCACTGTGCAAAGAGTGGGATTTTCAGAATGGTGAGTGCTTTAACAAGGATATTCTGTGTCTGTTTGCTTATTGACCACTAGGAGTCATCCAGCGAGGGTCTGCTGTCTTCAGCAGGACGCGGCGTGGAGAAAGGCAGTCTGCACAAACACTCTTCTTCATCCAGGAAGTTAGGGCGGCAGGAAGGAGATGGCACACTCGGTGTGGTGTCTGGCTCGCTGGGTCTGTCAGCAGGGAAGAGCAAGCTGAAGGACAAACTGTCAGCCATCAGGCAAGACAGAGCTGAGCGAAGAGAGTCTCTGCAGAAGCAAGATGCCATCCATGAGGTGGATTCATCTGAGGATGAGACAGACGAAGGCTCAGAGGACAGCCAGGATGGACGCAGGGGGAATATGTCCACTCCACCTCCTCTTCTGAGACCCACCACTGTGAGAACAGGTCCTGGAGGCACGCTGCCATCCCTTTGCCTCTCCCCCTGCACTCCTCATGCTACATTCAGTCATACAGGGCCCTCTCAGGTAGGCAGACCCAGCCACTCGCACACTTTACCACCTGTTGCAGAGACTAAGCCCAGTCAGACTCCCTGCTCTCAAGGGTCAACAGATGGAAGCTTGGCCTCGTCCACAGAGGACGATGCAAGACGAGAGAGGAAGGTTCTAGAGCCCAGCAGTACAACAAATACCATTCAGGGTCCCCTTCCTTTTTCCACACCAGGCAGTGCATTCATCTCAGTTAGCAAGGACACTTTTATTAAGCCAGCTCCTCCAAAAGACTCAAAGACTGTCATGGGAAAGACTGTACCATCAGAACCCAGAGCAGGTGGCCAAATGATCGACAGATTCAGAATCACCACTCCCTGTACAGAGAGCTCCACAGGTACTCCAAAGACCACAGACTCCAGGACCACCTCAAGTACTGCAGAGTGCCAAACCACTGACACCCGCGATACTGCTCGCACTTCTTGCTCATCTCCAGGCATCCCTAAGGAGAAGAAGGAGGCTGACAATCGGAGACTGTGTGCAGCTGCTGCTGCAAGTCTCAGCACCTCACCTTCATCCTCTTCCAGCTCTAATTCAAGTTCAGGATCCCCAGTTCCCCCTTCTGAAAGTGGGGTTGACAAAGTTGTGTCCCAGCTCGCAACAGTAGCTAAAAGTGTTCTGGGTCCAGTCAAATTCAACACCAAGGAGCAGAAACCATCCAGAGGTGGCGCCTCAGAAGTCCCACCTGCTGACCCTGTCCCTTTCCCCTCCAAACAGGTCCCGACCCTTCAGTCACCTCAACTCTCCCCAAACAGGCAGAAAACTCAATGCGTTGCTTCACCAACCACCACCAACCACATGAGACCAGCCAAATTGACCACCCCAGCTTCTCACCCTCGATCCTGCACAGATGTTCCAGAAAGGCATGCATCAGAGTCTGCAGGCAGAGACAACACTGCCACCGCTGCATTTGCACAGAGGTTCAGTACAACAGCAGCAGCAGCAGCAACTCAGTCCACTCTTAGCACAGCCCCACCCACTTCTGCAGCAACTGAGCCTCAGCGCAAGAGGTCAGACCCCCAGACGACGACAGCTACCACTGCTGCCTCGCAACAAGACAAAGCAACCAGCAAGAAGACGTAGCAGCAAACCTACCACAGTACCAGAATAAAACGTAAAGATCACAGGGCTCAGTGTTGGCTCCAAGTTTTAAAACTTTGAAAAACTGCATGTTCGGGAAAAAAACACATTTACAACATCACACTAATCAGAAAGCAAAGTAAACGCACAGCAGGAGAGCTGAGAAGCAGAGCCAGATGTGGTAGTCCCAGCTTTAATCCAGCTGTTCTGTGCTCTTTATGATTATCTTATGTTCATGTGAGTTCTTGCTTGACAGAATATGATGAGGAGTTTGGGGGTCTTTGCTTTTCTGCAAACATATAAGGGGCTAGAAACACAGTACTGCTCAGCAGTCCAAGGAGACACTACTTTAAAAAGTACACACACACACACGCGCACAGCTTTTTCACTCCTCTTGTGCTGCCTCATTATCTCACCTTGATGTCGAGCAGAGCCTCCACACATGTTCCTCAAAGAGATCAGGACGTGCCTTACTTAACGCACTCCTCTTTCTCCCTCTTTTCTATTCCTATTCACATCCCTCCTTTCTGAGCATCCACTTATGATTGACAGAAAGTTGTATCTGAGCAATAAAGTGCAACATTATATTTAGTAAACTGTTTAAATGCATTATAGAATTGTTAGTAAGAGTCAAGCATCGTCATTGTACATGCAGCACCCAGCGAAATAGGCCAAATTCTGCTCTCACTGTGCTCCCTGTTGATCCAACACTGTCGGCCTTCAGGACCCTCTGGGTCTGCTTCACCCTTTGCAGCCGACTGAACGTCTCTGAAACTTTTATTCTGTTATTGCACAGCAAACTGTGCACCTGCTGGACATTTTGCAGAGTTCATCATTTTCCTGGATTATCCTCTGTTCCCAGTGTTTTTAATAGTTTTATTTCTATCATGCGCGGCTAAGTTTTTTAGTTTGTTTTTGTTGTTTTTTTAACTTTAAAACTGCTTAAAATAAGAGCATCTAATAAATAAAATGAAAACTTGCAGTGGTTTTTGCTGACTTTCTGACACAGCTGTTGTACAGCAGCGTTGGCTCGCACTGAGTGAAGTATCGGAGGAACAGGACAGGAATGCGGCCAAGTCAGTGTCTCTTCAGTGTTTGAACTAATCATTTTCACATAGTCTAAGCCCTGAAATGTCCTGATTTCCAGCAGATGGAAACTAGCACATTTAGGGTGAAGTACAGGATTTGTACAAATACTGAAATATTGTCTCTCCCCTCTTGTTTTACCAGATATATTCATCCATACATTGTGTCAGTTTTAGATGATTACCTTTTCAATACATGTATTCTTTACAAGGATTGTGCCGTACTCATAATTTGTTGCAGGTTTTCCGATGTCCTTTAACTGTCTTGACCCCATAATCAGTGTTTGAGTATTTTATATGATGTGGGATCAGGTTTTAGGAATGGGGAAACCCTGGACACTGCTATTTATAGATGTCAGCGGCTGTCCCATTAGGCCCTTGCTCTTTCAAAATGGACAGTGGATCTCACCCACTGGTATAACTGTGATCCTCCAGCTCCATTTTTATTTTTCTGTTCTGTGCAAAGAAACAGGGAGACAGATTTAGTGAGTGGTCCTGGTGGTGAGATAGGATTGTAGATTGCCGCTGTACGGCACTGCAGATGCAAAGGATTTGATCACGTGCCTGACTTTTATTGACTCAGTCGTCTACAAAAACCTAATTTAGTTATACCAGAATTCAATTAAAGCAGAAACGCTCAGATGCACCATTTAAAACAAAAGAATTCCAGTGGATGTAAAGTAACATGACCAGTTTTCACCTGAAACCCTGCTCTGCTGGGTCTCCATCCAGTTATTTTTGGCCCCCGTCTGCCTCTGAAGGCTGCACTGCTTTTATTTGGTATCAGGACCAACTCGCTGTGTTCATCCTGTAAAGTTTTCTTTCTGTATGACACGAGGAGGAATCTGTGCATGATCGTCTGTGTAGAATATTTCAAAGTATGTTGTGTTTTATACACTGTTTGCGTGGGTGTGTGTCCAGAATTCCCTGCAGCCTACCCGTGTATGTGTGCTGGGCTGTCGACATGTTTGTGTCAGTCATGAGGCTCTGCACGAAGCGTTGATCTCGCATGATTGGGAAGAAAGGCAAACTGTCACTGAAAGGAGAGCCGGTCTGGATGTTTGACCACTGATTCCGAGAGCTACTACTGTTTTTGCAGGTGAAAGCAAAAATTGCACTTAGCTTGTGTAATTCAGTGATTTCAGTGTTTTTTGTTTTTGATTTACACTTTAATGACGAACTGATTTGATCCTTAGTAATTTTAGTTTGATCTTTCAAAGTGAGCTCAAAGCACACAAAGCCCAACCCACAGGATGGCCTCTTCTCGTGTGTTTAAAGTGTTTTGTGTCTGGTGTGGAGCTTGTTTCACTGCAGGGGGAGCAGCAGAGTTCATTCGTTTCAGTTTGCATATTAAGGACACTGTAAAAGTGACTTTGACAGTGACTGTGGTAATCTGTATTATGTTTACATGTTGATTATGTTTGTTTGTGTATATGTGTTGGGGGTGGGAGTGTCAATGGAACTTCTAACAGGCTAGGATGATTAGCAGCAAGGTGAGCATAATGTGATAGGTTCATATTGTGTCATGTGACGAAGAGTTTGCAAATGATGGCGATTCAGCACATTTCTCTGCTGTCTGTGGAACGCATCAGTGGCACGGAGCCGTTCCCCTCTGAGGATCAGAGCGCTCTGGCCGATCTGACGAGAGTCGGGGAGTTAATAACTTTTTGTACATCATCAAACTTGAACAGTTTAGTGTCAATGAGATTATCCGACCATACTGGATGTTGTTTATACACACAGTCCAAACCTTTCGGTTCTTTCTGTGGCATTATCAAGATAATGGTGTTGGGAGAGAGAATAGCCTGGAGCAGAAATCATTCTGTGGGCAGATTTTTAACCACTGATTAATTTTTAGAGCAAGTGAGCACGTGATTGTAAGCATGTGTAAAGATTTGAGCCCAAAAACTCTTCTGTCTGTGGACTGAAGCAAGAAACGAGTAGTTGGATTTATTTTAACTGTGTTCTCAGTTTTGGATTTTTCTGTTTACAGAAAAACTGGAACTAGAGTAGAGTCCGTTTCAACAGCATGTTTTCATGTATCCTTATTAAAAATCTACGTTATATATCAACTAACAAATGGTGACCAATATCAGTCAAATGTGAGTACTGCCGCCTCACAAATATGCAAAAACGGTCTTTAGCAAAGACTGTATTCCAATTCCAATTAACAAACTTAAGTGGATTTGACCTCATGGGTCATCTGAAAGCTAGCATTCACCAATAGGCATCAAAGTGAGGTTGGTGCTGGCAAGGAGCAAGCTCATTTTGCTATGATTGCAAACACAAATGTTGTAGTTTCATCATTTGTAAACCCCCACAGATGACAGATGATAACCGTGTTGAGATTCCAGACCACAAAATATAAGTGTGCTCTACAACTTCTGCTCTCATGCGGCAGTTTTGTTCCCGATTGACCTCCACAGATCGAACTGAGTACACTGACCTGCTTATGGTGTCACACGCTTCATCCCAAGTCCTGGGATCGATTAACAAATGGAATTATGATTTAGTCACTGAAGAGCTTCCCTACGCTTCTGACTCACAAGCATCACAAGGATCGACGAGCTTTTACTGTGAGGCATATAGATGATTTAAACATGTGACTGTGGGTATGATGAGGTACGAGGAGAAGCGTTATTATTACCACTGAACCACCACTTCATGAGATTCAGTGCTGTTTCAACGTACATCCGTTAAACTGATATTAAGGGATTGTGTTGGCTCTGTAAAGCAAGAAAAATACTTTTATTGCCTCGAGTCTTGTAGACAAAGGCAGTATCTCCACGCTTTGTGTTGTCTTGTAGGAGTGATGAAGATGAGAAAGAAGATTTAGCTGTGTATTGTAAAAGCTTCAGAAAAGGTTTAAGAGGGAGAGATGGGGGAAAAAACATTGCTAGAATAAAAACCAGTGCAATATCTTTTTATTTTTTATTGTGGTAAAAGCATGTTGTTGTCAATGTTACCTTGCAACAGTAATAAAGTTTTTTTTCATACTCTACGCTTGGGTTGTGCACTGATTGATTGTGTTTTTACAATTTGCTCTCTTTTATGTGGTGCATCACGCTTTTTACATTAAGGCAGATTTTTAGGGAGAGTTCTTCCACTGAACACATAAAGTCACATCCAATAGATGACAACTGACCCCAGGTTTAAACAATGCCTCAAGCTGCTGACAACAGCTACACTGCAAAAAGGTCTCTTAAGTTATTTTGTGGCTGAGTCCTCGGAAGAAAATTCCTTTTTTGTGTTTGTTAAATGAAATCATTTAACTTGTTTCTAACAAATTTCACTAAATTGCTGATTACTTTTAGAAACAAAAGGGGAAAAAAAATAGGTGGGTAATGTCATTGATCTTGAACTTGTATAACATTCAAACCACTGACAGGTGAAGTGAATGAGATTGATTGTCTGGTGCCAAGAGATGGAATTCATTAGACAGCAAGTGAAGAGTCAGTTCTTGAAGTTTGGAAGTAATGGGCAGTAAGTAATGAAGGGCCTGACTTTACTGTGATGACCTGGACAACAGAAACCTGAGGCTTCAAAATGTTAACAAGCCAACTGATGATGTCATGGCCACTTCATCCTTCTGTTATAGTCCGTCTGTGATGCAGTCAAAACAAGCAAAATTAATTCTATTTCGAAAAGAAAATACTTTTTTTACTTTCCTAAGTTTTAAAGCTTTTGCTACTGATAAAACTCCTGTGACCATTTTTAAAAAAATGTCAACAGTTAATTATTTACCAAATTAATTAATTAAAAAAGGGGAAGTCGACTATAAAAGTTTCTGGTTTTTGAAGTTTTTTTTTTTAAACAGTTTAAAACAAATTAATAAAAAGATTGTAATTTCTGTTAATTAGCGAAACCTTTCATGTCTATAATTATAGGCAAGTCTACAATGACCTACTTGTGCTTAGTAGTTGTAGTTTAACATATTTATTTCTTAGAATCTTAACCCAAAGAGTCGTGCTGACTCTCAGATTTCTTTCAGCAACATTTGTCTATCAAATTCTGCACACAGACAGAATTGGGAATTTTACTAGTCAATAGTCTGGCCCACTTACGATTAAAGGGACTCAATGTAATCCATCAAGGTTATGTTGAAATTGTGGTGAGTGTAGTTATAGTGTTTTAATCTTTTACATACTAAATTAGCAGGTATGTGTTTCTCTGCATCCCATTTATGGAGTCTTTGTTCACCAAGCTAGCAAATAATTTACACTCTGCCTTTTATCCTTTGTTGGTCACTTCTGGCTCCAAAAAATAGCCACATGGTGGCAGGCCCAACATTAACCGTGGAGATTCACAATACAAAATGTACAAATGTGTGGCATGTCTGCTGTATTGCTCTTTAATTTAAAGTCTATGTCCAGGGGTGCTCATAAGTGGTCCGCAGGTGCGCATTCGCTGTCAAAATAAAAGACGCGCACCAGATAAGAAGTTGCAACGCGCGTTTGCGTACATATAAAAGGCACTGTTTTTGTCCGCTAGAGTGGGATTTTCACGGCATATTCTGCACCACATCTCTGTGCGTTCATTATTCGTTTGAAGCCAGCTCACCTCGGCAACCATTTTTCCGAGAATACGTGCTTCTTTTGCGGTTCGGACTCCTGACATTTCTTTGGTGGTGGAGGAACACCAAAGTAATTGCTTAAAGGAGCTTGCTTTTTCAACATCTTTAAGAGTTCTAAACAAACGTCTGTCCTCCTCCTGAAAATCTTATTTACGCAAACGCGCGTTGCAACTTCTTATCTGGTGCGCGTCTTTTATTTTGACAGCGAATGCGCACCTGCGGACCACTCATGTGCAGCCCTGGCTGTGGATGAACCTGAGAAAACGTGCAGTGACTTGAACCAACAAAGTTTTAGACAGAACTGAGTTTTGTTTTTTTTTACAGTGTATCACATTTTTGTTCACTGGGGTGAGAGTAGCTTTTCCCGCTTCACATAAACATGTTAAATTACCCCCTCTATTCTCAGTCTCCATGCCAGCCAGTTGATTCCCAGTCATTCTTTCTCCTCAAGTCCTGGTGTGTATCTAGAGACCAAGAGTGAGCAGGAAAGTGGCAGTAAATTATCTGTAAACTCATTTTGCCAGCAGTTTATCAGTAAAGTGGCTTCATCCACTCAGTTAAGCTGTGGTTTTACCGCATCGAGCTCCCTAATAGGGCTTGAAATGGCCCGATCGGCTATGGATGTGTACCTAATCTCACTCTGTCTCTGTGGGAAATTTCAGACATTTTAATGTTCAAAGGAGACAGCTTCACCTGGCCTTGGAATGCTTTTGTAGAGGGTAATGACTAATCTGCGATGGGCTGCAGGGCTTCAACAATTTGAGGCAGAAACTGCCACAGAATGGATCTCCATTTGCTTTCCTCTATGCTAACACAGCCTCTTGCTAAAGGACCTCAGTCTCCCGCCAGTAGAGTGAGGTCAAGGGTTGCACCGCCTGATTTAAACACCACCTACCACTGCATTGTGGGATAATTGGGTCCCTTTCCCCCCTCCTGCCTCAATCTCCTTCACGATCTTGATTCCAAAGGAAGCTGACGGAGCAGAGGAGAGAGAAATGGCCCCTTTCAGTCATCACTAGACATGCTAAGTGGATGGAGGTACACATAGTCGAGAGAAGCTCTGACAGCAGGAAAATGGTGTCCTGCACACACACACGAAAATGCAGCAGTAGTGACAGGCAGTGATGAATTGCCAGCTTCAACCTACTCTGACACAACTCGACATGAGTTAGAAAATTCATTCCAGGTTGTCAGAGAGGGAGACGGAGACAAGGATAGCCAGGGGAATGTGAACAGAAGGAAACAAGCCCCAAATATACTGACTTCCTGTGTCCAGTCAGGCATAGGATGCCCTCAGGTTTTCAATGAATAAAATAATGATTTATTTAATAATCTCCAAAAAGTTGATTCTGTTCATCTGGATGTAGCGCTTTCTGTGGGAGAAACGTTTCACCACTAGTCCAAGTGACCTCAGTCTATTTAATAATCTATGAAAAATAAAAGTGGAATTGTACATTTTTCTAAATTAACTATTAATCAAATGGAGGGGGAGACTCATTTTGAGTCCCCTAACTCTAACACTTGAGATAAAATGGATCTGTGGGAAGGAGTGTAGTGACCCCTCAGTTATCATTACTCTACTCTTAATCTCTTTGCTGCCTTATGGGGCAAGGCATTAGAGGCAAAGGCTAGGACAGTGAGATTCAGAAATCAAACCCACCTGCTGCTGAACCACCTGCAAGTCTTCATGCTAAGGGAGTAAACCTTGTCAGAAAATCCACCGTGAACCCAAAAAAAGCAGTTTTAGAGTTCATCTGACTGTCTTATGGAAAGTCCTACCATCCAACATGTGCTGTGAAGGATTTATTGGAATCTTAACAAATTTGCTGAAATGGAGAAAAGCATACTCATGAAACTATATGCATCAGAAAACAAAGAAATATATATACAATCTGAGAATGCAGCACCAGCAACTGTATAGTTCAGTTAACTCAAACTACATACATTCAGCAGCCACTTTATAGGTACATCTGCTGATCTACTGGGATTTTCCCACACAACCAACTCTAGAGTTTACAACAAATTGTCTCAAAAAGAGAAACTAGAGAATCTAGTGAGTGGTGGTTCTCTTGGTGAAAATGGCTTGCTGATGTCAGAGAAGACTATATTGACCTGCAAAGAAGGCAACAGTAGCTCAGCCACTTTTTACAAACAAGGTATGCAGAACAGCATCTGTCTGCCTTCCTTTGTGTCCGTCTCTAAAGTAATGGCAATCATGTTAATGATATAGGGCTATGGAGGGAAAACAAAATCTGTTAATCATTAATATACAAGAAATTTCAGTTTCCATTTCAATTTCAGAGCTCATCCCAGTACCTTTAGTGAAAGTTATAAATGATAAATAGTATTCTGTGACAGTGGAGTCATCAGTGTGGTGTTTGATATTGTTGACCATAATATTTGATTTTTAGGAGTAAGAGCATGCTGTAGGTATAAAAGGTACTACGCTTCAGTGGTTTGAATCTCATATGTCTAATAGACTCCAATTTGTTCATGTAAATGAAGAGTCCTCTTCACATACACATATTAATTATGGCGTTCCACAGGGTTCTGTGCTAGGACCAATTCTGTTTACATTGTACATGCTTCCCTTAGGTAGTATCACTAGAAGGCACAATCTACATGTTCACTTCCATGCTGATGATGCCCACCTTTATCTATCCATGAAGCAAGATAACGCACACTAATTAGTTAAACCACAGGAATATCTTATACACATAAATACCAGGATGATCTCACATATTCTGCTTCTAAATTCAGATAAAACTGAGTTTATTGTTCTTGGTCCAGAAAATCTTAGAAATATAGTATCTAACCAGATTCTTACTCTGGATGGCATTACCTTGGCCTCCAGAAACACTGTGAGGAATCTCGGGAGTCTTTTTTGACCAAGATATTTCCTACAATGCTCATATTAAACACCTGTAGAAATGCTTTCTTCTATTTTGTATTTTCTAAAATTAGAAACATCCTGTCTAAGAGTGAAACTCAAAAACTACTTAATGCATTTATTACTTCTAGGCTGGACTACTGTATTTGTTATTATCAGGATGTCCTAAAAACTCCCTGAAAAGCCTTCGGTTGATCCAAAATGCTGCAGCAAGAGCACTGACAGGGACTAGAAAGAGAGAGCATATTTCTCCTGTATTGGCTTCCCTTCATTGGCTTCCTGTTAAATCCAGAATCAAATTTAAAACCCTGCTCCTCACATACAAGGTCTTAAATAATCAGGGCCCATCTTATCTTAATGACCTTATAATACCATATCACCCCATTAGAGCACTTTGTTCTCAGACTATGGGCTTACTTGTGGTTCCTACAATAATTAAAAGTACAATAAAGCCTCCAGCTTTCAGGATCATCTGCTGTAGAGCCAGCTCTGAGCGTGGATTCAGGAGACAGACACTCTCTCTATTGTTAAGATTAGG